AGCATTTCTGAAATTTACCGTTATATGAGAAGCTGCCGTTATTTTAGTCCGATTTCAATAATTTTCAACGTTTTGCTTACACGTGGCAAGCACAATAACCACACCGGGTTTGGTACAAATTGGTAGAACGGTTACCGATATACATATATGTGATCATAAGTGGGCGGTGCCATGCCCATTTTCCAAAATTTTACCATAAACGTATTTCTTGGTAAGGAATTGTTGCAAGTATCAATTTTGAATAAATTAGCTTCAATATTTACTGATTTATCGAAGATTTTGTATTTCTCTAAATTACCGTTATATGGGATGTGGGCGTGGTTATTGACCGATTTTAAAAAGTTTCGGCGATTTTTTATGCTGTACCAGGGCCAACAACTGTGCCAAGTTTGGAAGAAATTAGTGCGGCGGTTACCGAGATATACACATGTAACCATAAGTGGGCGTGGCTACGCCCATTTTCCAAATATTTATAATATTCTTATTTTTCGTCGAAAAATTATTGTAAATATCAATTTTGAGCGAATAATCTCCAGTAGTTACTAAAATATCGCAGTTTTCGTATTTCTGAAAATTACCGTTATATGGGAAGTAGGCGTGGTTATTGAGCGATTTTAAAAATTTTCGGCCATTTAGTATGTTGTGCGAAGGCCAACAACTGTGCCAAGTTTGGAAGAAATTGGTGTAGCGGTTACCAAGATATACACATATAACCATAAGTGGGCGTGGCTACGCCCATTTTCCAAAAATTTATAATATTCTTATTTTTCGTCTAAAACTTATTATAAATATCAATTTTGAGTGAATTATCTTTAGTAGTTACTAAAATATCGCAGTTTTCGTATTTCTGGAAATTACCGTTATATGGGAAGTGGGCGTGGTTAAAGTCCGATTTCGCCCATTTTCAATACCAACCTACCTTGGATTAAGGGAAACCTACATACCAAATTTCGTTAAGATATCTCAATTTTTGCTCGAGTTATCGTGTACACGGACAGACGGACAGACGGACAGACGGACAGACGGACAGACGGACAGACGGACAGACGGACAGACGGACAGACGGACGGACAGACAGACATGGCTTAATCGATTTCTTTTTTCATCCTGATCATTTATGTATACATTTGTCTATATCTATCTCGATTCGTTTTGGCTGTTACAAACAACCGTTATGTGAACAAAATTAATATACCCTTGTGCACAAGTGCGCTCGGGTATAAAAATTTATGTGGGCAGATGTGACTGCATATATGTACATAGTCTTTGAAGGTTTTCTGTGCTGACTTTTTTACTTTGTAGAGAAATGTTTGCCCGAATTGATGAAGCTACGAGTATCTCTAAAAATATGTGCGACTACTCCTCTCCACTCCACTATGCGCCCAGCGTTTGTAGTTTATGCGATGGAGCGCTAAGCTTACGAATTCCCGGACAGCAATAAAATACATTAGCACACTGCCACTAAGGGTCACATAGTACTCTATACGCGCCGCCAGGGGAGGGAGACGGGAGTGGAGTGGTGCATGACTCACGCAAACATGCATAGGAATTAAGTGAATGATTTTGTTAGTTCGATGAGCGCCGTGAGACTATGTAATGCAGGTGAGAATTCATGATTGAGGTAGAGTTGTTGAAATGGTTGGAGAGCAAAACAGAATAGCTTAGAGAGTGAGTGAATTAGAGAGCATGATTTACCATGTAGTAGTTTAGAGAATTTTTAAAGCGAATGATGAGCGATTTAGGATTCATTTATGTATTTTTGGGCGAGCGCCTAGTCTACGGAGAGTTTATGATTTAGAGAACTCTTGATTTTTTACGCGCATAAATTAGAGCGCCCGATTTCTGGACGAGTTTATGAAGGGCGTGGGGGCCGGCGCTCAGCCGATTTGAGTAGTTTGGAGCGCGCGCTCCCCACGAGTGTTGCAACGAAGTGAGCGCCGGCCTCTTTGGCGCTGCATTAGTGTGTAGAATTAGATAAATTTGTTTGCCGGCGTGGCGCGCGTACAGTATAGTGTGAGTGAGAGTGAACAGCGCGCCGCTACCAACACAGTGTCAAGTATGGGGAGCGCGCTGTCAGTGTGTGCGTGCGTATCTGTGTGGCGCTGCAAGTGTGTTTGATTTTTTTTCGATTACTTTTGTGTGTGTGTGATTTATCTATCATCGCCACACACAATGACGAGTGTGGCGAATTAATTTTTTTTTGTAAACGTTTTTTTTAATTTTTGCAACAAACAAAAACTAAAAATTTGCAAACGAGTAAACGAATGTGTTTTGGCATTAAATTTTAGTTCGATTTGCGCTGATTGTTATTGCTGTATGTACATATGTACATATTAGGGATGTTAATCCCGGGATCCCGGCCTTTTTTAAGTGCCGAAAATCCCGGTATTATTTGCCAAGAATTAAAGTATTTTCGTGCATAAGGTATTGAAAATGGCATTACAAATTTTCTCCTTGAAGTTTTGCAATATTTATTTTGTAAAAATTATATAGATATATTAATCCCTATAATATAAACTCGACAACATCCTCGAATATAGCTCTACATTGCACTGAATTTTTACATAATTTTTAGAATTTATCATATCTTTGAAATTTACAAAGTTCTACTAAAAAAATCTAAAACTAAAACCGCAGTTTTACTATATTTGGCCCATAGTGTCGTGAGTGTATTGATTGCTTGGTGTGTTTTGAAATTTTCTTATTTCCAACTTTTTCAATCTTTTTACTCAGAATTTTTAGAAAAATTCTAGGTATGCAATTTTATATGTATAGCCCACTAAAAACAGAAGGATAAAGTGCAAGTTTCAAGTGACTAAAAGTAACTTTGATTTTTTATAATTTTTTTGCTGGCGGTGTCACCCATTTTCTTTCATACAAACTATGTTCAGCAAATTGTTTATAATGAAGAAAATGCCCAGCTTCGTTTAAAAAATTTCCGAAAACCAAGGGTGTTCAGTAACTATAAAACTGCGTACCTCAAATTTTTTCTAAAAATGCTGAGCAATAAGTTTGATATTAGCTTTTCTTTGCATTTTTATAATTCTTGGACAAATTTTGAACTTCTTTCAGCCACACAATACATATCGCACACCGTCTTCAAAAGAGTCACAACTCAAAATAATGCGTTCGTCTGAAAATGCGAAAAACTATTTCGTTGCGCATGCTAATCATATGGTAAAAGACGAGTTTACCTTAGGTTCTTTTTTAACAAATTATAGCAAAAATTTGCTCCAGCTCTGTGTACATTTTAGCGTATAATTTCCAAAAATGCCAAATTTTAAGTTGTGACTCTTTTGAAGACGGTGTGCGATATGTTGACTCAATTTTTTTTTTTCATCGAGCTTTTTTCGACTTGCCTTAAGTTACTTTATCATATATGTACATATGCACACGTTACAGTATTGTTAAATGCGTATAAATTTAATTACTGTCTTTTGTTTTGTTACTAATCAATTATTTTTAAACTTAAATAATAAAATAGGTTATTCAAGGACAGCTTCTCAAACTATATTGATGCAATTTCTTCATGTTAAGCTGTAGGAAAATAATCAACATCTAAATCCCGGGATCGCGGGATTGTATGAACGTGGTCTCGAAAATGCCGGGATCGCAAAAATTAGCATCCCTAGTACATATGTATGTATGTATTTATGAGCTTTCCCGAGCACTGATTGTATGTTTCTGTGCAGCTTTGTTAGTTTTTTTCAGAGATTTGAGTAAATTGCGGCTTTAGTGTTAGGTGTGTGTATGGCATGCGCTTGTGTGTGTGTGTGGGGCCCATTTGTTGTTGTTGTTGTTGCGCCTGTTTTGTTGTTTGTATGCTATCTGTTATTGTATTGAACATTCATTCGTTTGTTGGTTGAATTATTCGTTGTGTCGCTGCGCTGCTGTCTGTCCCCCATCATCGTTGTCGTGGTCGTTTGGTCGTTTTTGTGCTCAGCAACACACACAGCAATTCAGCGCGCCGTTTCGCCGCATTTCGCAGCAACACAACTTTCGGTGGGTCGTTCGGCGGCTCGTTGATTTTTTTGGATTTATTACTCTTTGTGGTCTCAGCCGACGGCTGCGAATTGCAATTCAAGCGAAAGTCAGAACATTTTTTCCAAAAAGGAGAAAAACGCCTAAAAAATATTTTCAGTAATAAAAAAATGAAAACACTGCAGAATTAGCACACAAAAAAATAAAACATTTTCGAAACGCAAGTGAAATAAAAAGAAAACGAAAAATAAAACGAGTGAAAATTTGCAATATTTGTTTTCGGTATTTTTGTTTAATCCATTTTTTTTTGCTGCTGCTGCTGTTTCAACATAGCGAGTGAGTGTGTTTGTGTGCATTCAGTTCGTCGTATCTATTAATTCGCCTACACTAAGAATGTATCCTCACTGTGCCGGAAGGGGTTGCGACTTTTGACAAAAAAAGGAAAATGTATTTGTAGAAAATATACATATATACATAATATCTATCCGCCAGCGAAATTGCGATGGCCGAGGCGCAGCGATATGCCACTGCAAAAACAACGGTACGACCTGTGGTTCGGTGGGGTTAAAGCAGAAAACGTGAAAATTCAAAACAACAGCGCGACCGGAAAAAAGGCAAAAACCTAAGTACTATGCTATGTTTGAGGCAGTCAACCAGCGAGCAACAACAATTCAAGCAACAACAACTACTTTTTGAAATATGTAGATACAATAGGGCTATTCGCGATTCGGTGCATAAGAGCTGACAAATTTATGCAATTGCAGAAATATGCCATGGATTGTGAGCGACGTTTATTAAACTGTCATGGTAAAACTTTTTTAATCAGTTGATAGAAATGTCAACCAGAGTTGCAATGCATAGCATTTTTATGCTATGGATTTTCGGTATTGCAAATTTGTCAAACCATGACAAATGCAAATGCGTGTATTTTGTTTGTGTATTGCAAATAATTTGCAATACAAATTTGCAATGCAATGATGCTAGGCCATTTGCACCGGATCGCGAATAGCCCTAATATCTAATCTACATCCATGCATATGTGCATGCTATATCTATATACATACATATGTATTTGTGCATATGAATAATAGCATAACGCAACGTTGGCAGCGTCGATTTTTCTTGGCAAATAGATCAAAAAATTAAAATTGTTTTGCCGGTGCGAAAATTAAAATAAAATTAAAAAGCAATAATAACAACATGTCTAGAACGTCTGGCGGCGACGGCGGCGACGGCGGCATTGTGTTTGAGTAGGCGCTGCTTATTGGAGATAGTAAAAGTGTTTCTGAACGTAATCCAGTGTTGGCAAAGGCGATGTTGAGGATGTGCTTGCTGATGAGTTCATGTTGTTGTTATTGGGCAGCAGGATGTGCTTGAGCAATTTGGCTGCACTTATGCGGTGTTACATGAGTAGTTGAAGTGGAATTAATTGGTAATTGAAGCTTAAGTGTGATAGAATTCTAAGAATCGTTTTTGGGTTTGGAAACATTACTTTATATTAATAATTTTTTTTTATATTTAGCAAAGATATACATAAAACTCGAAAGCTGAAACTATTTTAATTTTTATGGAGTTTCCTGGAGCGCAATGGTTCCTCCACAGTTTTTATAACCGAGTGCAGCTTACAGGAATCGAAATAGATATAGACATATTAATACCAAAATGCTCAGTCTGTCCGTGTACACGATAGCTCGAGCGAAAAGTGAGCGTTACTATTGAAATTGTGCGAAATCGGACGATAACCACGCCCACCTTCCATATAACGTTATTCTCGAATAATGCTTGCAGCACGGAAATTTGGAATGTGAAGACGAATTTTGGCCCAAAATAAGATAATTATGAAATTTTTTGAATGGGCGTGGCACCGCCCACTTATGACGAAATGCAATATCTTCCTAGCCACTTCATCAACCCATACGAACATTGGGTCGAGTGAAGCTAAGAAACTTGTTAAATAATTTGAAATCGAACAATAACCACACCCACCTCCAATGTATCGGTAATTTACAGAAATACGAAAACATTGAAAAATCGGAAACTGCTGAAGTTACTTTACTCCAAATTGATGTATGCAATAATCTTTTAGCAATAAATGAGATTATCCATAATTTTTGGACGGTGGGCGTACCGAAGAGCGTTAGTAAGAAAAAATTTCACTTGATTATACTAAACTTGAGCGAACTACAAAACTGCATACTCAAAAAAAATCTAAATTTTTTTTTAAGTTGAAGTTGTTTGGTGAAAATTCGTCGAGTTTTCCTAAATTTTCTAAAAACTTAATTTATATGCCATTTGATGCAGAATGAACTATATTTCTATTAAAAATTAACGAAAAAAATGTATTTCGAAAAACGTTGTAAATATTAAAAAAACTTTCTGTATGGAAACATATTCTGGTGAGTATATGTATATACTACCGCTGTACTATAAAATGATTTCTTAATCTTACTGTACTAATGCATTGAGTAATAAATGAAATTAAATTAAATTAAATGAAATCTTCACTGTTAATTTAAAGTGCATGGATTAGACAATCCAAACTTAAACGATTATCGCCAGGAACAAATGGGCTTCAGCACACTTTGCCCTAAAGACAAATGAAAACTGGATTGATAAAAAGTGATGTATACGAGTCGGGAATTTCAATAAAGCTCTGTTTCCAAGCTAAGTTCTGCCATAAATAACTACTATCTAGCGGCTCATCTTATAGACTTTGGCTTAAAACTCTCAGCTCAGGACGGTTGCGGGTATCATTCCTGATTATTATCCGAAGGAAAGCATGGCTGAAAAATAGGCTTTCCAGCGAGAAAAAGTAGTCATTAATATTAAATTTTTTTTAGGAACAAAAAAGCATAAGCGTCGAGAAATTTCTCTGCTATTGTTCGGTCTTGGTGAGACTACGGTGGTATTATCTTAACGCAAACTTTTTCGATTGTTTATCAGATTTAAGCGCGTCAATAAAATAAGATTTTCACTTAGTAATTGGTGTTATACATACTTCCATGAACGAGCAGAAAAAAGGCAGCTTCTACAACTTAACCTTGACACGGCTTGTGGAAGTTTTTGAAGTAATTCTTTTCTTTTTGTTTAGACTTCAATGGTATCGAGTGGTGTTCGATTAATTAATTTTATTTTTCAAACAGTGTTTGTGAGTTATTCGAAAATTGTCAGCTTGAAGAAACCCCTTCCTAATTTTTAAATAAAACAAAAAAAAAACGGCACAAACCGGTTTTATTTTACATAAGCGAAAAATTATCGAAATTGTTTGAACTTTTTTTAATACATTTATTGAATTTTTGCTGCATTTCTTTTTGATTTAAGTTAGTGCTCTTGCCGCCGTAACCGAATGCTCACTGGTGGGTACGGCCGATCGGTAGCTCCATGTTTCTATTCTTGCTCCCACCATCATCAAAAAAAAAAAAAATTATTATCTTCAGTTTTGTATAAAGTACATGATTCCAATGCGAAATTGTATTTAAATGAAAATTTCAAAAAGATATACTAATAAAAGAAAAATAACCACACATGCTCATACATATGTATGTATACCTGTAGTTGCGTATGTAACGTATACGCCCCGTATTATCATACGCAGTCACTTAACACGTTTACTCGCACGCCATAACTTAAAAGTAATATTATTTAAAAGTAATTAAATATTGGCGTGGAAAATTTTCACACAGTATTCCTTGTGCACATACACACATATTACTTTGTTCATGTACATAACAATTCTATAATGAATTGCTAATAAAAATTGTAAAAATGGAATTTTAGTTTCTCAAATCATTGTCATATTTTAGTCAATGTAATTTTTTTTTTGTGATAAACTAGATTCGTTCGTTTCATTATCATTTTCATTGTTTAATTTTAACATTTTCAAGTACTTAAAATTATTAAAATTAAAGAATCATACAATTTCAAAAATTACAAAATAACTGCGACAGATATATAGTGAACGATGCCATTTTTTTTAATTGTTGGCACACTCTTGAAACTCCACAGATATGTTGTGTTTGATGCCAAGGTCCATTTACTCTAACATGTGAACATTCTATTTGAAAACTTTCCAAAGTTATTAAAAAAACTTTTATGATTTTTTCGAGTGACAATGAAAAAATGAACAATTTCCGTACTTTTTCGCCCAAATAAGCGTTTTAAGGCTAAAATTGTGCAAATACTTGATTTATGTTTTATTTTACTTGTTTCAAGAACTCCATTGATTGGAATATATACAAGAAGAGTGCTTTAGCTTTTTTTCTCCGGCGAGAGAGGAAAAAAAACAACTCATGAGATTTGCTCATATGTGAAATCTTCTTGAAAATGGAGCATACCCAACTGTGTTAATTTCAAGATTTCCAGAAGATAGATGCTTTCAACTATAAACCTCAAACACAAACCGCATCAATCAGAATGGCTAGGCACGAGTCATTTGCAAGGGTATTGAAAGTCATATAGAGTCTACATACATAAATTGTAGACTTAAATTCTTGTTAGACGGACTAGTGTTACTGTTTCGTGGTTGGCTTTGTCTTTGTGTTTTGACTTGCTGTTGTTATATACACTTTCTTTGTTAAGAAATAAAATCCAAAAGTTTTCTTTGTTTAGAAAAATGCAAAAAAAAACCCTCGAATGTTTATAAATGTTCGTGAAAAGTGAGCGATTGCTGTATCTTCAATGAACCTTGCAAAAGGGTGGCAAACGGCTCCAACCTGTACTTAAAAGCTTTAAAAAAGCTAGCTATAACCGAATGTAATGTTAAAACTACACACATGTTTGCTCAGCACTTTCTACCTAGAATTTCTAGGTGCAATTATTGTCACACCCTTTAACATTCAACCTAGTCCAACACCACTTCCTTTTATCCTGGCCCATTCAGCAAAACCCCTACAAATAACATTTTTTTTATTCTCTCTTCTGCGCTAAATTTTACATTGATTACAAATTTTTTTTTTGTGCTTTAGCTTTAAGTACTCATTCGCTTGTTGTGACTGCTCAGTGGCACTTTTTCGCCAAGTATACCTACAAAAGTCTTTTTCTTCTCCCGTTGTATGTTTGTAGGAGCTGCAAAGGAGTGCAAGGACTCAAGACGTGTTTATGTGGGTGTGTCTGCTCGTTTTTTCTTCGGTACAAAGCGATTTAATTTAAATTGTTGTTATTGTATTTGTGTGAGAGCATTAACTGCAACTGAAGGGGTGTGGTAGTGCATTTTTTGACACTCTCTCCTTTATTTGATGTCCTTAGTATTAATACCTAAGAAGCAACGTGTATGTACAATGTGTTTCTTCGTTGCTTAAAAGCCAGAGAGTTCCTTTTGTGGCCAAATGGGTTTATTTCAACTGACATGGCCGACTTTATCTTGGTAAATAAAACTCAGATAGATTGGATTGGGATAATGAGTGGGCATTCAGATATAGATGTCTTTACTCAATCGTTTGACCCTCTTGTAAGTAAAGCTTGTTAAAGTGGGTTAAGGGTTCTCTGCCGATTGCTAAGCAGGCTTTAGAAGGCATTGTATACGCAAATTCGTTCAAACTATTTTTTCAATGTAATGAATCCGAAAATAATCGTTTTACTAAATATTATATGAAAAAAAGTTGCCATGTAATCGCGTTTATCCAGGACAAAAAACAAAACAAACAAACAAAATCTGTACAAAATGTGAATTGGCCAATATGTGCGCAGATGAGATCTTCTTTTAATTTTTAACCGACTCCAAAAAAAGGAGGAGGTTATCAGTTCGTCGGAAAATTTTTTTATTTTTGGTTTTATTTTTATTTTTATGTATGTTACCGCATAACTTTGGACCACGTCAACCGATTTCGATAAATATTTTTGCATCGAAAATGTTTGGACTCAATCATTGAATCATGAAATATATATATATATATTTTTTTTTAAGTCGGTTTTTTTTGCTAAAAATTATTTGTTTTAAAATCTTTTTCAAAAAAGTTTTTCGTTGAAATTGTATAAAAAAACTGCATTTTCGCTAATCATAGTGTATTTTTTGTGTAACTTTTTATGTATGCGGTTTTTTTCAAAATTTTGTTCCCTTATTTTTTCATATTTTAGTAACAAAGTTTTCTGTTATTTACACCGTGCGACAGTAAATTTTACACACCAACATTTTTATATATTCGCGAAACCATGGGCCAAATATAGTAAACAAATTTTTAATGGGTTTTAATTATAAAGAACTTTCCCATACTGTTTTCCTACATTGGAATGAATTTTTTAAATAATTTTTGGAATTAGGCATATCTTTGAAACTACAAAGTCCTTTAAAAAATGTTAACGTTAGGGAGAAAAACTGGTCCATAGTTTCGTGAGTATATTGATTGCTTCATGTGTTTAGAATTTTTTTCTTGCTTTTGTCGCACGGTGTTATCAATTGTTGTTTGCCTAATAAAACTGGTTCCTCAATTTGGAAAT